CGGACGCGCTGGGAATCGTCACGAGCGCTGCACCGAGGAGGAGAGCACACGCGTGTGCGCGCGTACGTGAGGGAAGGCGTACGTGGGTGGGCATGCGAGAGCCGGCCGGTGTGCGTTTTGACGTTTCGACTTTACAATCCACCTCGGCCGAGACCGGACAACCCGCGGAATTAAAGATGTAGATTGCTATCGCCGCTCGGGCGCGAGCACGTATAACCCGACCCTCGTGAATCCCCGCGACGTTGTATTCCGAATCCCGCGCGAGCCCGTGAGAGCCCCGAACACGGGATTTCGGGGTGGATCGAGCCGGGAGATAAGCGCCGCGGCTGTCAATTTGAATTTGAAATTATTATCATTAATCCTCCGGGCGAGAGCGCGCGGCGGGCCGTTCTAGTCCGGCGGTTTCGCTCTCGCCGAGCGTTAATGTTCGCTTTAACGTTCCACGCCTGATCTTTATAGTCTCGACATCCTTTACGCCGTTTTAATATCGTGAATCACTTTGTTTGCGCGCGCGCGCGCGGGAATCCCTCGCGACAGGCTCGCGCGAGCGCGTATCGCCGATCGGGGGAAAAGGGCGAAATAATAATCCCCGCAACCTGTACAGATACCATCTGCGCCGTCGACGACGGTTAGATCTCCTCGGGGTCGGGCCGTCGGTGAACGAAAAGCACGTCAACAGAGAGAAAGAGAGAGATCATCGGCGAACGTTTTAATTGACAAAAATAAATTCCCTGCTAATAACCATGTCGGATATCGCGGTGTAAAATTAAACGTGTCGTCATCCGGCCGTGCGAGCGGAGAAACGCGCGCTTCGACGTTTCTCTCTTCTCCCTTGCGTTTAATTGGCGTGACGATCCGCAGGCGCGGTAAATATCAGCGTTCTCTTCCCGTCATCGTTAATTCCCATCGATTCGCGCTCTTCGCCGGCCCGTCCGTGAGCACCAGCGTAGTATGAACTTTCGCCACTTATTTTTCTCGAGTGCCGTAAGCGCGAGTAAGTGCAAATCTACCTCGCGAGCAACCCGCCCGTCTCTGTGGACAATTCTCCGTATTACGTTTCCCATGAGTAGCCGACGAGAGGAGCGGCGATGCTTGGGCAATCTGGAAATTGCGACTCTTCGGGGTCGACCGGACGAACGGCCGACCGGCCGACTGGCTGGTAGCCGGCGAGCGCGGCGCGACTTACGATCACTAAATTCCAATTAACCGTACGGGCTGTGGCGTAACCGCCGGTGGATTCTAACTCATCTTAGACGCGTCCGCCTTCGTCGTGACCGCGCTTCCTCCTCGTATTTAATCATACCGCGCCGGGGAAGTAAGAAGGGCCGGCCGGCTCTTCGTGTTCTTCTACGTTCCTCCACGAGGTCAATCTCAAGGAGAAGATAACGCGCGCGCACGCGCGAACTGCTCCTCGCTCTCGGCCTATCTCCGCCGGATGAGCTAACCGTAACCGTCGGAACCAGCGCGTTAGACGCTCGCTGCGCTTTATAGCGGCGTCATTGCGCTCATATCATTGGGATACGCGACCAGACGCGAAGGATTCGCGGTCAGACGACTACGGTTCCCATTATAAGCCTCGAACGGCGCGCAAAACACCGAGCTCTCGTTGCGGGTAATAAAATAATAATGACATTTGTTCGTTTAGTTTCACTGAGAAGAGTCTGGCGAACGGCCGGAATGGTTGAATACTGAATTGGTTTTCATCAATGTCGCCTGACTGCTAGGTAAAAGTTCAATCATATCGCGTTAAAAATTTCGCGCACAGGATTCACACGGAGAAAAGGGTTTCTTTAGATTCAGTGTTACGTGTTTGTTTGACTTGCGTTTGTTTCATACAAACAAAATAATTTAATATCAAATATCATTTTGCTTGAATGAAAATATTGTTGTTTCACTAGAACAAACAATGTTGTTTGATAGAAAAAAAGAGTATTATTTATAGGAAATAATATTTCGTTTTCGATAAAAAAATTGATTTCATTATATATTAAATATACTGTTCCACTGAAACAAAAAAGTTCTTGGATATTCTTTTAACATAGTGCTGTTTCTTTCGAATAATTTCTCACAATAACCATTATAATGTTTGGGTAAAAATACGAGAGAAATACGTTATTTGACGTAAAGATATTTATTATTTGAGAAACCAAGCAATTCTGTTCGTTGAATCAAACACTCGTTTGTTTGCTCCATTCCGAAAGACAAATCTGTTTAAATTACAGAAATCTTATTAAATTTCATTCATAAATCAAAAAGGAATCTTTTTTCCGCGTACTTGCCCACTATTCCATGAACGTCGATTGCACATCACTTAGAGCCGCGATCATCAAATTTTTTTATAAAATAATAACACTCGCCTTTCCGGTTTCATTCTCAGTTTCCAGTTTCGCGCGTTTGCGCGTTGTGTATATGATTCGACGCGGCTCGCGCGGTCGAAAAAGGAAATTCCAACGGGACGAGGGGTCGTCTAGCGCTCGCACGTGCACGGACATGACTATGCGGATTTAATTAATGCCCCCAAAGCGCGTACGGGCAGACGCAATCTCTCGAAGAATTTACAGCGCGTTTGCGGAATATCCCGCGGCTTCCTTTTTTTCTCCCCTTTCGGCGAGAAAGAGAGAAAGAGCCGGAGGGGAGAGAGCACTATGCGTCGCGGCCTTAGCGCGTTATTGAGCCCCGCTACGCGCGAGGCGGACCCCATCAGGGAGGCTTACGTTAGTTTCGAAGTCTCATCTTACTCTCACGTGGGGCGGCGTAATGAACCAACATGACTTGCGGTTTGCGGGCCCGTGTTCTTGCCTTATTGAAACCAGTGTCGCTCATCCGTTCATTCCGCCGTGGATCCCGCGTCCCGGATCTATCCTAGGCGGCTGTTAGCAATTATTTCCGATGCTCTCTCACGTATCCCGTGGAACAGGTGCAACCAATTAGCCAATCATTTCCCTCTCGACGCGTAGCATATATTATGTATATGTGTGTGTGTGTGTGTGTGTATATGCGTAATTTGACGGCGTCGCAGTTTCTCCGATGTTCGGCCGACATTTCTGGAATTCTTCCGTCGCGCGATGTCTCTGTTCCCCGGGGGCTATTCCGCGCTGCCGAAGCTCTCCAAGTTCCACGGCGGGAACTGCGTTTCAAGTAAAGCGTTTTCACGTAAACCTAATACGCATTGTCCGTACTTCGCGCTTCCTCTCCTCACCACGCTCCACTCCGCGGGTTGTCCTTCATCCTTCTTGGCCGTATACTCGTGTACTTATCGTCGCTCTTACGCCGTTACGTAACCCGCGCATTCCACTCTACGTATCCCGAAGTGCACGGTCGCCGAGCCACGGTGGCTGAGATCTCGCTCGCGCGACTTTCGGCGAACTGGTCCTCCTCTTTATGAACGCATTCGCAGGGGCAACGGACGGGTGGCACGACGGTGGCCGTGAAATACGCGTGGCGTAAATTTCGGCGCGGGTCGCTTTGGCGAATTTTCGGCGCGCTTAAATCGCGCCGATGCGCTCCGACCCCGCGATGATGTATCGCGAGATCGAGCGAGGACGCTGGCGTGAGCGAGTGCGCGCGTGAACTCCGAGTTTAGAGGAGCCTGAGAACCTGAAAACACGCTCGCGCTGTGTTGCCATTTACGCGATGCGAGAAAATTGCACATCTCGCAGATTATCGAGTACCGCGTTCTCAACGAGATACGAGATTATTCGGCCTTCTCTCGGCCAGCGGAGGGACTCCGCTCATGATCGCGACTCCGCTTAATTGGATCGTGCGGCCGGCTGTTTTGCGGCAATTTATATGGCTCGTACTTTCCGCATTTTTGCGGGTAATTGCGCGAAAGCCGCGTTCTTCGCGGCGGGCCGAAGACAATGGGCAAGAAATGACAAAATTCCACGACGAGCTCGCGCGCGCTCGCTCGCGTCGTTCCACCGGTTCTGAATTCCAGGGTGTCGAGTGTCCTTGAGTCCGTACGCGGTGGAACGTCGTCCGACGAGAAACACCGACGTCGATTCCTTCGACGGTCGATCACGATCCCTCGACTTGTTACGGATGATATCTTCCTTGATGTTCCATTACGAAAGTATTTCCGCCCGTGTTCCGTCTAAACGGCTCTCGCTCGCTCGTCAAAGACGACGTCCGTTCCGACAGGCGCCGGAATCCGCCGATTCGTTGAATTCCGTCCGGGCTGCGCGTAGCGACCCACCGGCGGGCTCGCGTAAACAGGATAGAAATCTCGCGAGCTATCGACACCGACGGCACGCGATTATGCATGCAGGTATGCGTGTGCTGATCATGTAATCCGGTATACTATAGCGGCATGACGTTACATCTGAGCGCCGTGTGACGGATGGCTGTTGAATTGATTAACATTAAATTACACGTCCGTTCGTGAACTAAATGCTGTAACTGATTAATCAGATTACAAGCTTTTCCCGAACTACGACTGGTAGATTATTCCTCTCTTTCTTTCTCTTCTAGGATGTTGTTCCACGCGTTTCTTTTTTTTTTTTTTTTTATTTCGAAGCTGATCACGATGATACACGATGCTAATTAACACTTCCCAGGTAACGGAGTACGCGAGCCGCCCCCGATGTTGCGAAATACCGTGAATTAATGTTACGCGTTTAAGGAGACGGGCGATTCCGAACACACTCTAGGCACGCGTTATTTCACTTTTACGTCGGAGGCGGAGGAATAATAAGAGTGACACGTGTGCCGACCGACTTGCCTTCTCTGAATCGTGGGACTGTGTTAGCCGATCGATATACCAAACGAGGCACGTGTTTTTACACGTCACGCCATGCCTTTACAGATTGGTCGATCGATATAGCTTCAAACTGAATTTGCCATTCGCTACTTCTTATTTCGGTCGCGTGTCGCTTTCTTTCGGACCGCGGGAGCCGAGCCAATTGTAACAATATCTTATTACGGAGCCTGTTTTTTCGACGAAAAGAAAAGAGAAGTAAATTGTTAGTCCATTTCCACGTTGATTTCTCGATGCTTTGTACTCCCATTAGCAACGCCTGTTGAATGTTTCCGATAGGCAAACCCATTTCTTTCTGGAGAAGGGTCGTTGTCATTTTAAAAGGGAATAGACGTTTCTTACTATAAAATAGTAAATCTTGAAGAATCCCGTGTTTCAGATTCACTACGATTTTCTTGGGCAGTTCTCTATGGTCCTTTACGCCTTTTCTCCCGAATGTTCCTGGCAGGATCACATTCTGAGAACCATCCAGACTACAATAGGATGACCTAAACATCGTAGGCCTCGGTTATACCGGCGTGCACATTTTTTCGGTGCACCCACGCTCGCTGGACGGATCGTGAAACAGGTGCAAAGGCCGATTCGACTCGCTCGTCGTCGGTACGGATGACTATTACGGCCATTAAGGGCCGAATTTGAATCGGAAAGGCATTAAAGATATTTTATGGCCTCCCGCGGTGCAGGGCCACCGACACGCGCGTTTGGTGCGTGTGGTGCACACGCGTACGTGCGTACATACACGACAACATCCCATGACTGCACTCAATTATTGATATAAATAATATTAACGCCCGTTTCATCGCTTTTGTGTCCAATGCGCGCGGTGTCTGAACGGTGTCGCGTTGCACCATTGTCACTTACTGTAACGTTACCTGCTGTCGAGTATATTTTTAGCGGTTTTATTTCGGAACAGCGTATGCGTATCGGCAACTTGTAAAGCTCTCAATTGCTCGGCAATTCAGTCGTTCGCTGAGTCTATCAGACGTCGCGCGAAATAACGCGTTTCATAAGGCAATTATAGGGATCGTTTGATGCGCGTACCAAAGTGTATCAAGACGTTTTCAAGTACGCTGGAAAATCCATTTAGTTGACTCAAACAAAGTTTGGTTGATATGTGCTCAAACAAATCTTTCGGTTGTGGGAACCAGAGTTTGGTTCTTTGAACCAAAGGTTTAGTTCCCTGAGACCAAACTTTTTTTCATTTTCGTTCCCGAGATATGAACCTCTGATTGAGAAAACCACATTTTGGTTTCCACAACCAAAATATTTGTTTGTGCATATTCTAACAAAATTTTGTTTGGGTCAACTAAATAAGTCAACTAAACTCAAATAAGTTTTTCGATGTATTGAATACTATGTGATTAACGCTAACCGTTTTGATATCTCTCTGGTTGCATAACTACATTATATCTTGCTAAAACGTAGGATCATTTTTCCAAAGTCTCTAGTAGGTAGTCTCTAGTACGTAAATAAGAATCGCTTATGACCACGCGTCGAAATCTCTCAATTGACGCTTAGCCACGCGTTGAAGTCTCCCAGTCTACCGAGAAGAGACGCGCCTCCTGCCGTTGCGAGATGCAAAATGCCCTCCGTGCATCATATCACTTAACGCGCGCGAGTCGCCGCGATCTCCTTGTCCCGCGGTGATGCACGACTCGTCCTTAAACCAAATTAATTCCACGCCTCGTTACACCTCGCCATTTCGTTGCCCGTCGCGAGAAAGAGAGACCGACGCGCTTGTAACGCGCTCGCGCACACTCGGTGGTGCGGTACCGACTTGTCCCTATACGTCCACTCGTCGTCTGTTCCCCCCCTCCCCTCCTCTCCCCCGCGCACCACCGTGCTGTTTCTATTAGTGCGGCCTCGAGAAGGAGGCTGTATAAATTAATTAGTAGATATGTCCTGATACGTGGCCTCCCACCGTACGACGTGCCGCTATCTCGTTCTCCATCGAACGTCCGACCGCCGTGGGTAACGCATTACGATCCGGACGTAGCACGGGTGTGCGTGTGTGTGCGGTATGCGTGCATCCCGCGCGTACACGTGCGCGACGCCGCGGCCGCGCGCTTATACGCGCCTGTGTCGTGGCGCGGAGGTGTCGGTTGAAGGGAAATCTCCGCGGGGGGACTGTCGGTGGGTACTAACGGATCACTGAAGTGCATACACACGCACATACGGCACGCACACCGAGCCCGAGCCGCGAGAAGCCGCGATCCTCCTCGACGAGGATTATCTCTCGACTTCAACCGCGCTTCGACGTAATCGCTTAACACACGCATTACAACCATTACTGTGCGATACGTCGGTGTCGGATTTGAACGATAATACGTGAGCAACATAGTGTATTATTAGGTATTACGCTCGCGGTATCGAAGGCGCGCGCGCGGTGTGCGCGAGACGCGAAATGAAAAGCCGCGGGCTCGTTTCACGGAGATGTCGAAAAGCGAGAAAGATGGTCCGGCGCGCTCACGCGCAAGCTCCGCGATGTGGGCCGCGATAGCGTTAGGCAAATTTGCAGGATAATCGGCTCGTAAACGCGTCACGACGTACGAATGTAATTTCCTCTAAGCAGACGCGTGATCTACGAAGGAAATAAGTCGCGATAACACGCGCGCGCGCGCTCTTCGTCTAACTTCGACGATGTTGCGCAACACGGCGACACGATCATCACGAGTGACGGCCGTGGCCATAAATTCCGGCGATTGACTCTAAGGGGTGATTTCCTGAAGGTGCTAGAGTAACCTTAAATTTTATTCCCCCCCCCCCTTTGCCGTGCGTGAGATATCGGATATAAAATTACTGTAATACTTAATTAAATTTGAAGTAACCGAGCTTTTAAGCGCGTGGCAACGGCCGCGACGGGGCCGCTGTAAATCGCCGCTCGCTAATTAATTCCGAGAGGAGTCGTAAACATATCTCTTGCGCGCAGAGTTCCCGAGGAGAGTTTTCTCGGGCGCGATAGGGCGCGATTTATCTTGTTTACTACATCGTGGAATTGTCGCTTGCACTTTATCTCTATATACAGTACAGGATCGAATTCCGTGGATTCTGGGGAGATCGTATGGCCATGTGTGGCATGAATTGTAGTCGGATGAGTAACGGAACCGGTTGTACTTCGTGGTTGTACAAACTTCCGTAATACATAAAGCCACATTCACACGGCGGATGTCGAAAGCTACAGGAATGACGGATTGTTGCGAGACGTGTAAATCCAGACGTGAGATTTACTCCCTCGCCCGGACAACAACGCGTTTTACCGCGTTGCGTACCGTGAGAATTACAAGTTCCCGTGTGTGTGTGTGTCGGACATTGGATAATATTCCGCTAAAATATCTCGTACCTTACGGAGAGAAAAAGGTTCTAATTGTGACTCCGATGATGCTCTGAACCCTCTTCTTCCCACAAGGCAATCCCGTTCATTCGCGTGTGTTTCTCCGCGACATATGCGATCGTCACGATACTCCGGCGGGGAGACTGTCACACTACTTCATAATTCAAAATCATTACACTTTTACCGCGACGTTTATACGCAATAAATAATTATGTTTTCTTTTTCACCGAAGTCCGAGTAACGTATTGCGGCGCGCAGATTATTCTGTTGCTCAAAGAGCACTGACTACTGCCCGACGTTCATAGGCGATAAATTATTGCGCGACACGGAACAATTGAATTTACCTCGAATCCCGATAATGTATGGATCGCTCGTCGTCGGATGCTAGGATTACGTCACTCCCGTAACTTGGTTAATGGATGGCTAGCGCCTTCGCGTACCGACGTGTGAGGTCTATTAACGGGCCATTCGATCGTAAAGTCTCGACTATATAAAGGCCCTCGTTGTGTCGGCTTGTTTGCAAGCGCCTTTCCTTCGTCGAATCGATTTTCCGGCACCCCACGCCGCACCCAAATACACACGAAGAGGAATGCCGCCGTGTGATTGTTCCGGCCGATGGGAAAAATCTCGTGTCGCGTGCGTGTCGTCCCGTAAACGATCGAATTCTCTTGGATCACCCGTGTGTGTGTGTGTGTGTCGAGAGAGAGTTTGAACTCCGCTTGTACTTCAGCTCCGATCTCCCCGGTCGGACCTGGCGATGAGATCCGATCAGCGGACGTGCGCCTTCTCCCGCACGCGTGTACCTTTCAACGATCGCACCGTATTTTCTACTTACGGCGCGAAAAGAGAGGAGAAGAATTGTTTCGCGGCCGGCGGGTTAGCTAAAGACAATCGCGCGCGCAGAGCAGCCTCCGGTACTTCCGGCACGCGGTGCTGTCTAGAAGCGCAAAACCGAGCGGGAGAAGGAAGTGAGCGATGAGCTGACGATGTTGCGAGAGCGGCGAGCGCAGGGTGGCGAGGGGCCGTCGAGCGAGACGGGTAGAAGAAGAGGAAGGTGGTCCAGGGCGGTCGAAACATTCTCGGCTCAGGGCGTGCATTAAATATGATATATGCTTATTGAATTTGTAAGTAAAACGGCCGACGGTAGGACTCGTGGTAGTCGGGGATGCGCGCTCCGGGAAGGCGAATGAGCTTGGTGAAGAAGGAAGGGGAGGGAGAGGAGCAGGGGGAAACGAAGAGAGGCGGATGACGCGTACCGTCTTCCTCTCGCCCAGCTCTTCCTGCTGTCTCCATCCTTCCTCCCTCTTGGCACCCCTTTCTCCCGACTCTACAGCACGCTAGCTCTCTCTCTCTCTCTCTCTTTCTCTCTCTCGTCTTCCTTTCCGCTCTCTTTTGCTCTCTCGCTCTCTAGCCACTACCGTTTCTCTCTTTCTCTATCACTCTCTCTCTCCCCCTCTCTCTCTCCCTCTGGCCTCAGCTTTGGTAGCCGTGGTGGTAAAGCGTGCATAATTAGGAGGAATTCAACAGGGATTACCCTCGTATGGATCCCATCCAGTCATCCCGCTTCTGCCTTTCTTTGTCGAGCAACTAATTTATTTAATCATTCCACTGTCGACCGGCAAGCGGCGCCTTTGCTCGCCCGCGGTCCCTAAGTTGTTTAATCGTCCAAAGAGGCTGTTTCTCTTTTCCCCGCGCCACGTCTTGCCCTCCGCGCTACCACTTCTCTTCATTGCGAATCTCGTGCGACGTCCTCGTCTCCAAGCTCGTCCTCGAGGTCGTCGTCGTCGTCGTCATTTAAATCCTCGAGGACTCGAACCCGGCAACCACTCGTCTACGCGATTATCGCACTTAATATCCCCATCGTATCGCGTGGATTTTAATTGCACTCGCCGTCGACACGTTCCGAGCGCTACCAGCTGAATGATCAATGAGTCTCTCTAATCAAGGAAGAACGAGCGACTGATTTATTATAGACGTTGCGCTCTCGCACGCGGAGGAATAGTTCGCAGACATTCACGTCTGTACCTTCAAGGGAAATATAAATATCGCGCTATGCTATCTTTAAGAAGTGTCATTACACTGTAATAATTGATCCTTCCAATTCAAATCGAAAGGGCCGATCTGGTCGCGATTCTAAACCCTCTCAAGTGCAAACAGTACCGATC